AATGAAAACTTATAAAAGGGGGTTCGAGGTTCTTATTAACATTCTAGGAAGGTTTTAAAAGCACCTAGAATGTCCACTAATGTGGTTATCCGACGATTAATTATTTGGCTAAAATAATTTTAACTTAGCTCGAATTGCAAAATTGAACTTTTTCATAGTTCAGAAAAATATTGAGATATTATCTAAGTTAAACGCTTTGATATATTATGTTTTATAGGAAGCGAGTATTTAGTTAAATTTTAGAAGATTAGTTCAGAATGGCTATCTTTCGGGGAATTAAATTGTGGTGACCTTAAAACTAATAACACATATTGACAGATAACCAAATATGAAGTAATAAAGTATAGAGAGAAATTTGGGGCCCAAGTCTGGTTTTCTGTCCGCCTAGGCCAATACTTGGGCCTAATCTCGTTTTGGGCCTTTGGCCCAATTCTTGCCACCTTCGTACCTGTCCTAAATTCTAAAAATAATTAATAAATAAAATGACGAAGGCTTAGGCCCAAAAATTACAAAATACAAATTTGAATAAAGAGTGGGCCTTTTGGCCCAATCTTTTCAATTCTCCTCTGCTTTCGCATTTTTTCAACTCCGGGACCTGCACGTCGATTTTCAATGGCCGGTTGATTTGAAAAGAGGGAACTTGAGCCTTTATGGCTCTCCCAAAATGCAAAGGGGAGGCGAGATTCGTAATGAACTCGGGCAAATTTCACAGACAATGGACAAAGAGAACAAGAATTAGTAACCAACAATAATATTTCTGAACCAAACACTAAATACTAACTGTATCAAAAGGAATACAACTTATCAATAGCAAACAACTAGCAATAATTTAACTAAGCATGGCATACTATTCTAGACGCGATCCTTAGCTAAAGAAGAGTGAATACTTGGTCAAACATATCATGCTGGACAGTCAGGCAAAGAAGGATTTGGGAAGCGAAGAAACTAAGCTGTTAAAATTAATTCCATGATGATATATATATATATATATATTTTGAACACAAGAGAAAAGTCTTATCCAAGCTTAAGCTAACAGAGGAGTATAAAATGGTGAAATATGGAGCAATTATAAGCACAAATAAATAACAACAAAAAAAAATAAATATATATATATATATATATATATTTCCAGAGGATAACGTACTAAGCGGTAGCACCATAACAAAGTAAAATACTAAAAAAAATAACCATTTTTAGCCGAATTTACTCATATCATTGATCTAATATTAGAATTCTAAGCAAAGCGAAGTAATAATGGATTCCGACATGTCACTTAAAAATCACCGACTACTCTATGCTTATCCATATATTGAGGTCATCGAAATACCATTTGTAATATTTAAAACATGAGAGAGGATGCCATAAATGTGACCAAGGACCAGATCACATACATTATATAAAGGGAAACATGTGGAACCAATATGCTGCCACTTACTATAATAAATTTTAAACACATTAGAAGAAGAAAATTCCACCAAACTATTATATTAAAGAAAAAATAAAAAGTAACAGGACCCCACATGTGACAAATATTGCACAAAATTTAAAGCATGGAAGTATGGATTTCACTACTTTTACTAAAAGAGAAAGGATGACTATATGCATATTGGACGACTTTGGGGAATGACACGAAAATAGTAAAGACCAAGAATTTGAACAAAAACCAATATTGACAATAATGAACTCCAAATAATAATGAAATATGCATATCGTAATTTACACAGTTAGGACAGTGGAAAACAGATTACGTGATACTAAAAATGAGGTTAAGAACTTTGTTCATGCGCAAATCACCAAAAAAAAGAAAAAAAATATATATATATTAAAGGGTAAGACAAGAATTCACAGGCATGAACGAGATAAGAACTTCGACACTTTATTCCTTCAAGAAGAGAGACACAGGAAGAAACAATCACACTTCATAAACAACCTATTTCAAAATTTTCCACATTTCTTAAAGAGAAGAGCATTGACAGTAAAAGAAGAATAGAGTTTTTGAGGTTTGAAGCCAGTAAGATACGAGAAGACGTTCGACATAACCGAACAAACACGCGAGAAGGAAAATCGCAGCACAACTCAAACTCAAGAAAACAGGAAGACCGCAATATTGAGTACAAATCCACAAAGCTTTAATTCGATATTGCGACTAACTCAATAAAACGACTAAGCACATATACATCATATCGAAATATTATAAACTAAATAGTAACTAACAGCCGACAAATACAGAATAAAAGCTTTGCAAATTGATAAGTCATTTCGAAATAGAATAAGAGGTGGAAAGAACATTATGAAGAAAAAGACTACCTTTTTCGGGACAGCGAAACAGGGACGGGACGAGCAGGGGAGCGACGATTTCTCACCGAATACGACTTCAAAATTCGAACAATAAATCAGAATATCGAAACGACTTCAAACAGGGACCCTTTTAGAACTTAGAACTAAATTGTATTAAAATTTCTTATGTGTAAAGATTGATTGTTCAAAAAAAACTCTAACGTATATCTCTTTCTCCAATCTTTTTCCTTTTTTTTTTCTTCCCCCGACAAATAAGCAAAAGGGGATTTATATAGATGGGGAATTAGGGTGAAAACGGATAGAAACAAGGTCAAAAATGGAATTTTCCTCTTGTTTCAAAATTCAAAACTCGGACCAGAGAGCAGCTGGGGGTTGCACAAGATTTTCTCCAAAATCTCAGAAAATCTGGACGAGGCAGCAGGCTGGAACAAGTTGGTGAGGGCAGACGCTTGCTTTTCCGTGGATTCTGCTGAATTGCTGTTGCTGTTTTGACGTTTTTGACTTCTGAAGAAGAAGGAGAACGTGGGGGTCAGCAATAACGGCTACTGTTTGATGTATTGTATGTAGTTGTTTGGAATTGTATTGTATGCATGTTAGGAATTAAAAGGGGAAAAGGGGTGGGGTCAATTAGTATATGTTTATGTATTATTATAGTATTGTTGGGTCGGTTGGTACATGTATGTAATGTATTGTTTTGGATATGGATTGTTGTGTGCTGGAAATACAACATAAATTCCCAAAATTTGGTCATTTAAGATGAGTATAGAGTAAAATGTATTGTTTTGGATATGGATCGTTGTGTGCTGGAAATACAACATAAAGTCCCAAAATTTGGTCATTTAAGATGAGTATAGAGTAAAAATTTAAATCGGTTAGATTTTGGATTTTTAAGAAATAGCCAAATTGAGTTGAATTAATAAATTCGGCTAAAACCTAAATAAGGTGAGCTAATATAAAATTAATTAATGAGCTTCTTAATGTTAACGAAATAAAATAATTAATTCAATTATAAACTAATTAATTTAAAACTATGGCCATAACTAAAAATAACGTAACTTAAAAATGTACTTTTCAAATCAACAAAATTAAATAAGACAAAATAATATAAAATAAGAATAATTAAACTAATAAAATAAATAACTTATACTTTAAACCAAATTAATTTAATTGAATATAAAACAAACTCTTTTTGAGGCGATTTTTGAATATTTATAAAATATGCTATTTGATAATATAATAATAATAATATATATATTATTTAAGAGTTCCAAAAAGTGTCAAAATCACTAAACTAATTAACCAAATATTTAATTAAAACAAAATCTTTTTGAGATGATTTTCAAATTTTTATAAAATATGCTAATTAATAATATATATATTATTTAAACAACTTAAATAAAATGTGCTTTTGAAATCAACAAAATTAAATAAGACAAAATAATATAAAATAAGAATAATTAAACTAATAAAATAAATAACTTATACTTTAAACCAAATTAATTTAATTGAATATAAAACAAACTCTTTTTGAGACGATTTTTGAATATTCATATGTGACAATTCAATATCTCAATTCAACTAAATGAGTGTTCAGTTTCAATCCAAGATATATGTCCTTACACGTGGATATAAAGCAACTATTGCGAATAAAAAAGGGCCAGACAGAGCAAAAAATTTAAAGGCTTTCACTGTACACTATAGAATGGTTATATAAAAAGAGAAAGTAGTACAATTTAGCTTGCTTTTGGTACAATTTTCTTATGCTATGTTAGTCCTCTCCAACTGTCCCTTAATGATGAGAGATAAGATGTTCTACATTAGAAATAAATACGTGGTACAATCGAAACAATAGCTCTTAAATCAAGCCTTAAACGTCAAAATCTACCCAAAGTAAAAAGCACCAAAAAGGCCATAAAATCAGATAAAAAACAACACTATCCACATATATAAAAATTAAATTATCTAGAATAGTGACATGGAAATATCATGGTGGCAAGCAACTCTCCAACTAAGGATATTCTATTCAGCCTAAAATATTCATGCAAGCAGATCCGCATCAGTGGAGATAGTTGCTCCTGTGAAGGCAACTACACCACATGTTCACACGAATGATCATTTTGTGTAAGAGTCTGACCTGCACCAATTATTGTTTCCATCGAGGCACTATCTTACTAATCATGAATAACGCGCCTCTTTCAATTCACAAGTAATCCTAGAGTATATTCCTGCAGTTATAATGTCTATAATTTGCTTGAAAATAAAACCAAATTTGAAGATTAAAGTTCATGTTACTCACGAAGGGTATTATACTATTTGCTTCAATCAGTAAAATAAAGATAATTATATCGAACAATTTGTTATACACAACGACAACAGTAAATCAGATCGCATATTTTGCTACCAAAAAAATGACCATACAAGCTCTCGGTGATTGTCTTTAGTATAATAGGAAAGAACACCTCCCTAGACTTATGTGTAATTGAGCTAAAAGTTCACTTCCATGTGTTCCCTTTTAATGTACTTATAAAGATCAAACACAAACACTGTCGTTTCCCCTGCTGCTCCACCAAAAAATCCCAAACAAGATTAAAACTTGTTGAAAAAATTGACACTTTTAGCACCATAAGTTACTTCACATATCTTCCTGATTAGCATCCCTGACATGACACATTCCTTCCCAACTTATAGTCACTGCATACTTCTTTAACTCATTAACCCTTTATCGAGTGAGTGGACCATCAATTTTTCTATTGCAGTCATGACATTAAAAAATATGATATAAATCTATTTTGTATGCAGTCAATTTATCTCAGATTCGTCAACTTCTTCAAATATGGCTAATCATCCTAAAATAGAAGTTTTATCTGGAAGGTCATTTAAAGGAAGGGGGATAATATAATTATGGACAACTTAAAAATGAGCAAGACTTGGTGATTAACATATTTTCAATATTCTCATCATCAATGTACATTATTTAGTTCACAATTGTTTGTCCATATTTAAGGGCCATGCAAATTAATCATCTCGGCATGCATATTTGATACAATTCTAGTTTAAGTAATACAGTAGCCCAAGATACAAACCTAAAAAAATTGGCAAAGACTTCTCCATTTTTTATTGTAGTTGTAACTGCAATGAAGCCACATAATAGATGAGGAAGAAATTCACAGAGATTGGGCACTTAAAAATTAATATCAAACTTATCCTCAGTAGACAATTTAATAATTAAATCATATTTCCACACCAGTTGATAAGCACTATTTTTTAGTAGCTACAACAGTGGATCCCCACCTTTAACTATCTGTAACTTAATACTCTTCAACAATTTCATTATGCTTGCAAAAATTGAACTAAAATAGTATGGAGCAACATAGCAGTTAGTCGTTCATTTCACTAACTGAACAATTGTTAAGTTAATTGAACTCTGCAATTGGATTATAGTTAAGTGGCCCATAAATATAAAAAGGCCCCAAAGAGGTTCGATTAACATTTTGTGAGGCACAAAATTGAACTACAAGTTGAAATTTGTAATACTTTTGAAGGGGAACTACACTTAGGTTATAGTAAGTTACCATTATTTGAAAAAAAAGAAGAAGAGAATTTGTGATACCTACAAGTTCTCTGTCTCAAGCATTCCTTTATGTCTGCTCTCTGGGTCACCTACATCATCCTGTTTACATTGGGCAAGATGTTTTGGCTAGTGTTGGTGAAAAAACACTATACAAGGAACTAAAGGTCAAGATAAGAACAAAAATTGAAAGAAAGGTCAAACCGAGGTGCAAACAGGACAGTGCAGAAAAGCTGTTGTTTGTTACATCTCTGAGATGAATAAATCATGAAGTGTAATCTCTGTGCTAGGACTCAGTTCAATAATAAGAATTTTGTATGTGCCTCCAGTTGAACATTATATTTAAGAACTGAAATTGGAATATTGACAATGCCTATCCAGTAAAATTCCTATTTATTTGAGTACAAAAGCTATTTTTAAGTGTCCACTAATCAAACCGACAACACTGAAAATAAACTCAAAATACAATCACATGCTACTAAACTGACCTTAAAGTGTGGTAAATAATCAGGTTTCAGGTATACATCATCTTAAAAACAATATATGCACCTGGAAGATTTACAACAAAATTAAAATAAACAGATAAGAAACACCACAATCCTATCATTCAAATAATATTTTCCTAGTCACAAGCGACTATGCCATATGAATGCCATGAAATAAGGTAATCATAAAACAGTAATGAAGTTATCTAGAGGAAAATTGATTGACAACTATCTTGAAGTAGCTTTTAATTCTTGTTTGACAATTTGATTTAAGAAAAATAAGTTTATTATTGTCAATCTTAATCTGACATTTTGTTTTTACCTTTTGTATCTTAATAGAAGAGACTGTGTAGCATCAGTTGCATCCTTCAATTTTTAAGTTTCTTTAGAAGAAAAATATTTTCATGCATCGTTCCAGTAAAAGAAGAATGTTGTCATTGATTCATTTGTTATCACTTGTTTTCTTTGTTGATACTTGCATAGATAACCACTAAGGGTGATAATATCAAGCTGCATGACATTTTGATTTTGCTCTTGAAGGAATCAATTAGGTATTGCGAAGATAATATTCTCCTGGTGTGAATGAGGTAGACTAAGAGACTCTTTGTTGCACTAAAATATGGTTATGATATTCAACCAGCAGGTGTACTTCATCACGCACAAAGGAAGAGGAAAAAAAAATGAAAAATAAAATTAACTTGTTTGACGAAAAAAACCCTCATTTATTTCTTCAGTGAAAGGCCCACTTTCTATGTAAAACTTGCACAGTTAGAAATTTCAATTCTCCTTAAAGACTATCCCAACCATTACAATGATGAGAAGATACAAGAAGTAACGAATACAAAATTCATGATAATAAGGGCTCCATAAGTATGCTTGTATTTGTCAAAACTGAAGCAAGAAATAGAGAACGAAAAATACTTTAACAAACAAAAATAATAGCTTTGGAAGCATCCTCAGTTCCTCACACATAGTACAAACATAAAAGAATTTACCTTTGCATCCTTAAGGCCACTCGAAATATGAACATTCTGGAAGGGAAATCCCAAGATATTGACATACCGCTTGCGTAACAATGTCAGTTCTGATGATAGCTTAGGATCAAGACAGAACCATTTTGCTTTCAACACTTCCCCTGACAAATGATGAAGCACATTGAACTGAGAGAGAACCAATTCTCAGTAAAAGGGACCTCTTCTCAATTATTTTAACCACTTTAGCTTGAGACTGTTTGATTTGATCATTCTGCAATAAGGTGTAAAAGCAATTACAAATTGCGAAAAAAAATTCCACAATCTTAACATTAAGGAGAGGTTATGCATGAATTTCATACCTAAAAGAAAGAATCATTAAAACTGTTAACAATAAAAAAAATTAAACAGTGGCATAGTCTCAAGTCCTGACTTCAACCGGAATCTGACTCAAATGAAGGCGACTACTTCAGCTATGAACTATTGTTATGTCATTCCAAACTATAGCTGACAAAGAAAAGTTCAATTATACATATAATATAAAATAACATGTATGATGTAAAACTTGAGGAAACAGTCGTCTATAAACAACAGACGAAAATAATACTTTTTCATTCCAGAAGCAGATGGATTCAAGAAGTCCTAAAATATCATTGAAATTAAATAAAGAAACCCTATTATTTTTTGAAGAAGATCTAAATCATGAAAAAATTGGTGATCAAATAATGAGTTCTTCGTCTTCCCTATATTTTTTTTAATCAGAAAAAGGAAAAGAAGGCCCAAGAGGAAAGACTTGGGAAAATGAGATAAAAGAACCGATACTTCTAGAGAGTAACTGAACCCAGATACGATGTTTGATAAGTTGTCCATAACCTCTAGCAATTGGTACCGGTTTGTATAATTATTGATAAACAAACAGAGTTCAATTCCATAAAATATGAACTTTTTGTTAGATCAGTCAGTAATTAGTAATTTGTTATTTTCTTAAGGATAAATAATCGCAATATGTAAGGACAACATAAACCTTCACATCAACCATGGATTTTAGCCATAAAATTAGTAGAGAGAATGTTAAGTAAAGTGGAAGAAAATTGTTACAGAATTTGTAGAACATACCTGGATTATGAAGACTTGCTAATCGATTCACTGTTATTGGAACAATAGGGATGTAAATCATTCGTTCGTCTTCCGTTTGGCGTGTGAAAGATGAAAGACTGATGATTTGAGAAGATGGAAGACGGATGGTTCTAGAAATCTTGAGTTTAGGGTTAAAAAGACAACACACGTGTCACCAAATAGAGTACAGATGTCTCTATTACAATGAATTTAGCAAAAGTAATCTTGACAATACCAAAAATGTCCTTATTTGTGTCATCACATTTTCAGCAGAAGGTACAATTATTTTAAGCTATGTTAGTCCTTTAGAAGTGGCACTTCTAAATAAGCACAAGGTACAATTATTTTAAGCTATGTTAGTCCTTTAGAAGTGACACTTCTAAATAAGGGTGTATATATATATATATATATATAAGTAATAAGAGTAATAATATAATATATATATAAAAGCAAATAAGTAAGTAATTAAAGATGTAATACATGTCTGCCAAAGAAAAGGCTGCATACACGTGGTTAGGCAAGAAAATAAAAGAAATAAAATGGGTCCACTTTGTTTGTCCCCTTATATATAAGGGTAAAAAAAAAATGCTTTTGATATTATAGTACAACTTGAATTGCTTTTGGTATCACTTCTTAAAGCTGTGTTAGTCCCAACCCTATAGTACAACTTGAACTGCTTTTGGTATCACTTCTTAATGCTGTGTTAGTCCCAACCCAAGTCTCACTTCTAAATAAGAGTAAAGTAAAGTAATATAATAGGAGAAGTAAAAAGGACACATGTCAGCACCACAAAATTCAGAATTTTAAATTATAAATAATTAAATATTCTAAATTCAAAATTTGAAATAAAAACACACATGTCAAATAAAGATCAATTGGTTATAAAACTCCACTTCAAATCAGTTAAAAATTCAAAATTCAATTTAAAAAAAATTTATATCTAGGACAGATTTAATATTTTAAAAAAAAACTAATTTATACCTTTTTTTTAAAAAATGCATTTATATAAACACGGACAAAATGTCATCTATTTTTATATAAAAACGCTGACAAATGTCATCGCAAAAAAAAAGTCTATTTTATTTTTAATATCGTATAAAAAATTTGCTTTTTAATATCGTATAAAGCGGTTTTTTAAAAAACTTTAAATCTGCTTCTTTTTTTTTTGGATGCTGATTTTATTTTTTTTTATAAAAAAAGTAGTATTGAAAAAAAAAAAACTGAATTTGTTTAGCAGATTTCTAAAAAGTACATAAACAGTTTAAATTCTTAAAAAATAGTTTTAAAAATAAATTTTAAATTTCAAAAGAATTCAAAAACACGGTTTGCAAATCTCTCTAATAAATGAGTTAAAAAAAGGGTTACAGAATTGAAACTATTTATATATATACACTAATACTACAGTGATGTTGGCAAACCATTCTTTCAACTTTCTTTGTATCAGTTTTTGTTCTTCTTTTATCTTTGTCTTATTTATATGTATATTCATTGTTCTTTCATTTTTGCTAAAATTGTTCAATCTAAATGTTAAATTTCGATATTTTTTTAGTGCATTTGTGTGTCACTTCAAAATGTAACCATTTAATATTTGGAAGATTCTTGGAGTATAAAATCAACACTAGAGGTAAGTATTTATAATTTTTATTTTAGAATTTAACAAGTTTGTTCACCGTATTACTTCATGTCTCTTTTTTTAATATAGATTTTTAATCTTAACGCAAGATAAATTAGTCATGATCATAAATTTAATACAAAATTTTAACATATGTTTTTATTTTATTATATAAACAATCATGAAATTATCTCAATATTTTGGTGAAGTTATCTAAGATTCTATACTATTTTAGTAGTATATTTTGAGTTTGTTGGTTTGATGCTTAAATTTTAATTAGTCGAATAAGTAGTGTGTTGATTTTGTTCTTGATACTTTCTAATAAGGAAGTAAGAAACTATTTAAAAATTATAAAAAAATATTTTTTTAAAGAGTTACATAATATTTTTAATTTATATTTTTAACTTTTAAATTTTGAATTTTAAATTGAGAGTGGTTAATTAATTTTAAAAATATAAGTTTAAAATTAGAAACAAAATATGTAGTTTTAAAACTAATCATAACCGTTTAAGGATAATATTTATTATAATCTTAAATTTTAACATTTCTATTTAGACTAATTAATTAGTTGGCCTAATTATTAGTTTTAAGGATCACGCATTATCCAGTCTTTTAAGCCTTCTGTTTATTTAGTTTAGTTTTTATTTTATAGCCTTTAAATAGTATTGTTATGAAGAGTATGATGTTTATATGTTATTTACGTTTTCCTATAAAGTTCGATAAAATTATTATTTGTCTTATAGATGGGATATCTTTGATAATTCTATCTTTTTTTATTAGAGCATGTTTGGATAGATTTATAACTTATGGTTTATAAAACAAAAGTCACAAAATAGAATTCCTAAAATCTTATTGAATCATAGAAAAATAATTTCCTTATTAAAAAAATTAATTATTTGTAATTTCTAATCATATTAAATTCTAAACTAAAATTTTAAAAATTAAGTTTTATTAAAGAATTACTTAAATTTATCGTGATATAACCATTTTAAAAAATATATAAAATTTATATTTATATAAAAATAACGATTAAAAATTTTAAAATTTAAATGATCCGCTTTAAAATTTTAAAAAATATTTAAATAAAATGTGACTATAAAATTGAGTTACTAACTAAATATTATCATGTTTTTTTTTCCTAATATTAAACTTTTATTTACAATTAAAATTTAAATAGTCGGTTTTACAACTTTCCATTGCATTTCCACCTATACACGAACTCTTAAAACTGATTAGCAAAAAATTAATAAAATAAAAATTAGATTTTGTTAAGAATAAAAATAAATTTATTTATTTCCAAATTCACTAAATATGGTTACTAGAAAAGTGTAAATCATGATTTTTTTTTACCCCTTTTGAATAGCAACTACAAGGCAAGTTTTTGTCTCCTCTGATGATTAAAATAATTAATTTATCTCCAATTATTATTGCAGTTTTTTTTTAATTATTAAGCACAATTTTAAATTTGCGTATGGTAGTTTTATGATGGAATCCTAAAATTAAGGTAATTGATTAAGAACTTCTTCGCCTAATGTATTTTGGATCATACCTTTATCATGAAAAAAAAATTCAAAGTAAATTTTGAAAGTATTTATTATTAACAATAGATAATCAAAAAATTTCACATGCTTAACTTATCCATATTAAAAATTACAATTTTTTTAAATAACTTATCCAGAAAAACATGCTCTTAAATTATAGGTGCACAATAAAACATTTATCTCCAACCCAAAATAACAGACATGCAATAGAAAAAAAAAATAACAAACATGAAAAATTAAAACTCTTTTTTCAAACTTAAATAATTATAAAAATAAATATGGATAGTTTTTTTAAAAAATAATTATAAAAATAAAGATAGATATGTTTTTCTTCAAAAAGTAAAGGCTAAAGAAAATAAGACATGCAACATATATAATGGGTTATTCAATTATGAATATGAATAGTACGTATTAGTTAAATATATTAATTTTTAAAAGAATTAATTTAAAAATCAAATTTATTTATTTTTTAAAAATGGATAACTACAGTTATATAAACTCCATACAAATAATTAAATAATCTCATTAATTTTTAGTATAATAAAGAACTACAAAAAAATATATTATGTTTATGGCCTAAATTTTGTGTTGATAAAAATAATAACCATATCTTTTTTTTAATAAATAACAGAAATATTAATGGGAAGAAAATAATAAGCTATAGTTAAATATTTCTTATTTAAAAAAAAAATTATAGTACGAAGTGATGAAATCATATTATATGTTATTTATTTGAAAAGTATGTTGTGCCGTAATTTTCCTAACCTTTAGAAAAATCACTTTTTGAAATGTTCTAAGTATAAAACACTAAAAGAAAAATACTTAGAAAGAGTCGCCACTTAATTTTTCAAAGAAATTAAGAAAACTTATCA